TCTGTTGTTAATAAGTATATAAATAATAATCACATTATTTCAAATCTCTTGATCTAATTAATTATAGCAACTTTGCTGGTCTTTGGACTTAACTTCCCTTAACCTGAATCGCAGCAGAAGGTAGAGAAGCTGAAGATCTGAGAACACTAAGCCTTTTCTTTGTAAGGTATATGTACTTAAACTGGGCAGGATTCATGGTGTCAGTATAATAAGATCATTAATAGTAAGGGTACTAAAACTGGTAATTTATAAGCAGTGATTAATGTGATCACGTCGGTTTTCGAACGGGGAAGGAATACGAGGTAGCAAATTCTACTTTGATTTCGTTATGGTTTTGTTTTCTGTTCATTTATTATTCTTTCTATTGTTTATTTTACCTGTAACATTTTTTTTTACGTTTAAACGCTACTTCGCATTCTAATCGATTACATCATTTTAAAGTTTCTAAAAGTTATGGGACTGACACCAGTTTCCATTACCGGTGACTTGCAGATACTAAAATTGTAAAATTTTTAATTTAGTGTTCTGAATAAAGACTTTATCATGGACTTTCAATGACTTTTCTCACGTGAGATAGCGATGAAGTGATTTTGTTGTTATTCGATGTTTTATACACGTTTTTCTTCCGTTCCTTTTTCTATTTATTTATATGAATATTAAACTTTTATTGATGGTATGTTTTTCTTTCGTGTTAGTGGAAAGTTCTGGCCACTGGCTCATTCATACACTGTATGCAGGCTATTTGATAGTTTATAAGGAGTCAAGGAAGGACTTTTTGGAAACAGAATATCCAACATTACCTGAAACCGTAGATGAACGAACAGAAATGTCTAGAAATGTTATACAGAAGGCAATATCCAACGTTGAAAAACATAGATACAGCGAGAAGCTTGTACCCGTTAGTCTCTTTCGGACAAAATTAAAAGTAGGTAACTCACTACTATCGTTAAGAATACATCAAATATGTTCTAGAGTGACGCTTACTGAACTTTATTCTAAGACTGAATGAATAGTTGAAAGTTACGACTTGTGTTTCTCCATTTTTATATAAATTAGGTTATATCGTGTTAATAGGACTATTTTACGTTTCTAAAATGAATTTTTCCAGAATTTTTTTTTGATACCAGAAGAAATGATC